GTAGGGCTCTCCAGATTGTCATGACTGACACAGTCAAAGGCTTTCTTGTAATCAATGAATCATAAGTAGATAATCTTTAGATACTCATGAGATTTCTCCATGATCCAATGCAGATTTGCTATATGGTCGTAAGTGCCATGCCCCCTTCAGAAACCAGCTTGGATGTCTGGTAATTCCCTTTCAATGGCTGGTGCCAGGCGCTGTTGTATAATTTTAGAAAACCAAAGAAGGGATCACAGAACAGGAAATACATCAACACAAAGAAACACTGTGATGAAACTGACAAAAACATTTAATTCTTATGAACATCAATAAAAACTTTTGCAATATAGCTCAGGAAATTCTAACATGTTCAAGAAAAAGTCCAAAATCCTCTATGAGCACCCGGTTTTATACTCATTTCAACAATCTTCTTCAGGAGTAGTCCTGTTATGTTAGAAGGTGTCAGCCTCCTGATACAGTTTAACTACTTCTTTTGCTTCTTTCACATAGTAGCAGCATTAACTTCTTTTTTACTTTCTTCAAATTATTGCAGCTTAACTTCTTTTTCAAATTATCTTCCAGTTCCATTTCAATTATTTGTACTAGGAGCAAGCCAGTTAATTAATTTCTTAATAGTAGCAACCAGTCCTCTTTTTTTATCTGGCTAGAAGCCTTCTTATTTCAAGTTGGCTGGCAATTGCTCTCTATCTCACGTTGCTGGTTCAGTTCCAGTAGTTTATAGGAGTAACCTTTCAGGCTTCTTCTGAGAGCGATTGCATGAGAATTGGAGCAGTCTTTGGAGTCTCCCTTTTTTGCTAGTGGAATGAACACTGAGCATTTTCAGTCCCTTGGCCATGTCTTGGTTTTCAAAATCTTCTGACAGAGGCCTCTGATGATGGCAGGTGGTATACAAGCCTCAGCAATTCTGTGGAGATGATGTCAACACCTGGAGCCTTGTTGTTTGGTAGTTGGCTCGTTGCCCACATGATCTCTTACTCAGGGCTGGTTCTTTCTCAACTTCCCTTTCCTTGGTATCCTGATGTTGGGCTGCTTTGTTACTAGTGTACAGCTCTTCTGTGTATTCTCACCATCTCTTTTGGACATCTTGTTGGTTGGACAGTTCTGTCCCTTGCTTGCTTTTGATAATGCCTTTACGGACAGTAAATGGTGTTTGAATCTATATGGGTATATACTTCATTTAATCAGAGTGGAAACCTTGGTGACAGGTGTCTCTATCCCCCACATGGCAGAAGTCCCTCCTTCCTTCCTCCCCCCCCCAAACTCAGCGGAAGCCCCCTTTGCCTTCCTATTGGTTGGGGCTGTCATCCATGGGAATGGAGGAGACTGTGCTAGGGCTGTTAGCAGGGGGTTGTTGGGGAGAAGGAGGCTGGTACAATGGCAGCCATTTTTTGTGTGTGTACCTCAAGGTGGAGAAGGCTAAAAGAGAATGGTTGTGCTTGGTGCAACTCCAAACGGGGGAGACAGTAAAGCAGAGAGAATTTTCAAAGGGAAACATGTGTGCTGTTTGCTTTATTTTTTAAAAGTGTGCTGTGTGTAAGTTCAAGCCCCACTTGCCAGCTCTCTCATGCTGGAGGCTCAAACTGGCAAGAAAGGGAAAAAGTCCCACCACCACCACTTGAACAAAGGAGAGCTGAAATCACCATGTTTCCCCCAGGTCATCTTCCCTACATCCCCCACTCTGCCTGAGAAAAGGAATGACTATTGGTTCTAACATGTATCTAGTAACAGAAATGGACTGGCACACAACTGGGCATAGCAACACCCTCTTTTTTCCTTTGGGTTGTATGTATCTCTGTGTTTCATTGTGTTCATGTGCTGTTTGTTTTATTTTTTAAAAGTCTGCTGAAAAGTGTGTTTGGTGTAAGTTCAAGACCCTGGAGGCTTCAAACTTGCCGGCTGTCTCATGCTGGAGGCTCAGACTGGCAAGAAAAAGAAAAACGTTTTCCCCCTTGCTTGAAAAAGGAGAGCTGAAATCACCGTGGAGACTTTCAGACAGACGATATAATCCGGAAGAGGAACGGTTCCCAAACGGTTTCTGGTCTGTCATTTCAGACAGAACCGTTTTAGAACTGGTTCCCTACCGGAATATATTTTTAATTTCACACACAAACGCTTCTGTCCTGTTTAGGAAACGGGGCTGAAGCGTTTTACCTGTCAACCGCTTCCAAGTAGTCTTCAGTTTCCTCTCCCGGTTCCGATGTGCTTTTCCCCACCGTTTTTTTGCCCACGTGGGCAATCTCCGGGTGTTTGGGGTTTTTTTGGAACATTAGTTTTATAGCGTTATAGCAACAGCATTATAGCAACCCCATTGGAATACCTAGAGTGTTGTGTTATAGTGCTCTAAAGCAAACGTTAAAAAAAAAAAAAGCCGGAGATTGCCCACACAGGTGAAAAACGGTGGGGAAAAGCGGTGCAGTCTGAAATGGCAAACCGCTTCAGATTCAGCTCTTTACCAGAAGGGGAAAGCCATGTGTGAAATGGCAGCCCTATACCGGTTTACTCCATGACGGATCAAAACCGGCTTCAAACCAGCTTCAAAAGGGTAATGTGAAACTCCTCCATGTTTCCCCCCAAGTCATCTTCCCTACATCCCTCTCCCCCGGAGAAAAGGAATGACTATTGGTTCTAGCATTTATCTAGTAACAGAATTGGACTGGCACACAACTGGTCATAGCAACACCCCCTTTTTTCCTTTGGGTTGTATGTATCTCTGTGTTTGTGTGTGTGTGTCTTTGTTTTATGGTCTATAGTTTGCCACAAAGGGCAAACTCCTTTTTATGGTTAAGATATTTCCCTAGTGGCTGCAAACAACTTTTTAAAAATGTCCAATTCTTTTGGCTGTCTCAGCCTCTGATTTTCAATGCACAACTTTTTGGAAGAAAAACACAAGTATTTTAAAATTTTATTTGATAATGAACTATTGTGACGTCTCAAGACGCTAATTTACTCCAGGTTCCTCAGCCTGACTTCTCTAGAGACAGGACCCTCTGTGCAGATACAGAACCAGAGGTCATTTCGGGGGGAACGCGGGGGAACACAGTTCCCCCGGGTGAGGTGCAGGGGGCGGGGCACATGACGAAGCCCCGCCCCCTGCTTCCGGCCACCCCGCTTCCAGCCCTCATTCAGCCAGGAGGAGGCAGGAGAAGAGGGAGGGTAAGTTGCTTCCTCCCCACCTCTCCCCACCCCTGCCTGCCTGGGGCCAGGGAGGGCCTTGGCGGGGCTTCCTCACACTCCCGCTGGCCTTGCAGGTCCACCGCCGGGCCCCTGATGTCAGGGGGTGTGGCATATGCTAATGAGTTATGCTAATGAGTTCCCCTAGCTCTTTTTCTACAAAATGACCCCTGTGTAGCAGAACAAATGTGCCTCCAGTACCCACATAACTATACCCCACACTGCAGAAGCAAAGACTTACTGAATATGAGTTTTCCAGATCCTGCAAAAAAAACTGAATTCCATGGTGAAATCTTAGGTTTTTCTTGAGAGAAACTCCCTATGCAGTTCATGTCTGGGGGAAAATGTTTCTTTTTTCTCCAAAAGGCTTTTCCCCACAACCACACAGCATTAAAAAAAAAATAAGGCAGAGTTTTTCAGTATAAAATATTCCAGCTTCGTGTTTTGATATGATAACATTCCTGCATTGTGTATAAATGTAAAAGCATTAAAAAAAGCTGTAAAAAGATTGATCATTCATCTAACTGCAGATTATGGCACATTAAAAAACATACAGAAGACTTCTGTCTCTACTGAAAACTGCTGCAGGTAAAGATCAAATAGAGACATGTATGGCAAAACTGCATGCTCAGGGAAATCCCAGGATAACATTTCAGGCAGTCCCCTGAAAAGCAGGTAGCTTCTTAAAGAACGGCATGAACAGAGTGGTAGAACCCTTTTAGCTTCAAGGGGAGAGGGGAGGCCCCACTTTCTCCTTATATTGCCCCTGTCCCAAAACACGTGTGCTGATATTTTTTTTTGGGGGGGGGGGGTTATCAGTGTCATTCTCCCCTTTACACATTGTGGGCTGATCAAAGGGAACCCTAAAGTGCCATGTATCTGCACAAAAACTCCCCTGAATCTGGTGTTTTGGCACAGATGGTTGTATGTAATTAGCTTTTTCACCAGAGACACTGGATATTGCTATGTTTAAAATGGTTCTTGCAGGTCAGTGTGCTTAAACATTCTCATATCTTGGTGGACCTCCTGATGGCACTGGTATTTCTGGCCACTGTGGGATACAGAGTGTTGGACTGGATGGGCCTTTGGCCTGATCCAACATTGGCATCTCTTATGTTCTCTTATGTTCTTATGTTCTTAAGTACGATAAAAAAAAAAAAACTGTGACACAATTTTGTAACATATTTTGATTGGATATTGGTGGAGGGGGGGCAGGGACCTAAGTGTCAACACTGGCAAAGGCACAAGTCATCAAGGATTCCACTCGGATTAAATGAAGGATATACCCATATACTACTGAAGGGTATGAAGAGTACAGAAGTCCACTTTATCCATTGACTCTCTGAGGAGTTAAAATTGTGCTTGGTTAAAACTGTGCTCTTTCTAAAGACTTTGGGGATTAAGAATTTTAAGAGTAGGGCTACATCTATGCTTCTTCTACTGGTTTGTTTTGGCTCTTCCCTCTCTCTTTTAAGGCAGTTGTAAACTACTTTATGGATCCTTAGTGGATTGAAAAGTGGGGTCTCAACGGTTTAAACAAATCTCCCTAGCCTTCGTTGGTAATCTTTTCACTCCTTTGCCCTCTGCCTTTCTGGTTGGTTTTCCACTTTTGCACTATTTAAAGAAAATGGTATCGTTTGAAGATCTTTAGCTGTATGCTTAAACTTTTGTTTGTTTTACTGGCACGTGTCAATCAGTTAAGTCTATCTGGATAAGGCAACCTGCAACACAATCGTGGTCATGGGTTGTTCCCTCTGGCCTCTTCAACCTAACAGTTAACTATTTTTTCCTCCCATTCACTGACTGAGATGTCTTCTTTCTTACAGGGTCTGTTTACGAGATCTCAGGTAGCGAATGCTGCTTACCGACAGGAGAACTGATCAAAATTGTTGATGTCCAGCTCCAGAAAGTCAACTGTGAAAGCATCGAGAAAGATCACCTTGTGGAGCTGCCGCTGAATTTTAAAGGTGCACATGTATTCCAAATAGCCACAACTTGTCTTTTCATGATATGACCAAAGTACAATAGCCTTCTAGGGCAGGGGTGTCAAACTCATTTGTTATGAGGGCCGAATCTGACATAAATGAGACCTTGTTGAGCCAGGCCATGTGTGTCATAAAATGTAATGCCAGGTAGCGGAGATATAAACTTTATAAAGGACACAAACACAAAGGTTTTTTTTTTAACTTAAAATAAAAACATGCTTAAAACATTAGCACTCTTGCGATATTTTGTTTATTTAACAGTGTCTTATAACGGACACCTCTTGCTCTGAATTATTGCATCAAAATGTCTGTGCTGTTGCAATCTTGAGTGTTGTGCTGCCCGCAGTCAGCGTTAACTGTAGTTTAGTAAAACTGCTGTGTATCTTTAAGAGCAGTTGCACCTGGGAATTGTAGTCTGTTAGGGGTCCCTCTGACTGGCTCATTAAGAGTAATTTCCTGAGCTCAGAGATGCGAAGGTAGGAGTTTTATTGTTCTTTTCCGTTTCTTTGTCCATCAACCCTTACTGCAAGGAGAAGGGAAGCCCATCTCTTTTCTCACCACGGCTATAGAACTGACCTAGATCACAAGATGTAACTTTCCACCCAGCTAGGTGTGTATCTGTAAGCTGCAAACCTATGATGATGCAACAGCACAGAACTGGAAGAAGAAGCAGATGACAGCCAGTTCCACTGCGGGCCTTATAGAAGCCCTCCGGGGGCCTGATCCAACCCCCAGGCTGCATGTTTGACACCACGGTTCTAGGGAGAATTTAGGCTTGATCTGATCTAGAACCTACTTCTTTGAGTTTTTGGTAGTCTACACTATCCATAAAACTCTCATCCAACACCATATTTTGAAAGAAGCAACTTTCTATCTTCTTTCTTCACTGTCCGACTTTCACATCTGTACATAGTAATGGGGAATACCTATAGTATGAATTATCTATACTTTGGTATACTGAATGAACCAAGTTCAATACCTGGTTCCTCCAGGGAAAGGATCTCACTAGCAATTTCAGGCCAAGGTATTACTCTGCTGAATTATCGCCAAAGCAGGCAATATGGTGCTCTGTGGACCAATGGGTCTGTTTCAGTATAAGGCACCTTCATATGTTCAAAATGTGATAACACAGTCCCATCCTACATGGTTGCTTCATTGATAATGCACGCAACACCACCCTCCATTTCTGCCCGAAGACGTTATTCTCCATCTCTGCACTGGGTGTGATAGTACCTTTAACTAATTTTGGATGCAAAAGAATCTCCCATCCATGGAGATTGTTAAAGTCTCTGGACTTGCCCTCTTTCCAAGCTGGAAGATAACTGCAGGAACTCATGCAGAGACCTAAGGGAGGCTCTCCTTGGAAGCCAGCTCACCTTTACTTTTTGCACATCTACAGAGGAAGCATGCCTCGTTTCAATTGCAAGTGTTCCTGCAGGAGTAGGGAAATGCTGGTATAGATACTCGATTTAAAGCCAAAGTAGAGATCTTTGGACCACTAAATTCTGTAGCAACACACAGCTTCTGTTTGGGGTTACAGACACAGGGACATGCAGAATAGTTTTGGAGGATGGCAGCCCTAGCTGTGGGCAAGGAGGCAACACTAATCCTGTATTCTCGCAACTTCCCCAGGTCTCTTTCAGCTCAGTCCAGATCAGCCACATAGAACACAAATGAAGCGTTTCCTTCCGGGGGCCCTCTCCTTCAAAAGAAAACCCTCAACCTGTGACAAACAGCAGTACACACTCCAGGAGATCTTGCAGTCACCCCCCATGCAAGGGAAAGCGCTGACATGCTCGGAAATTGGCAACAGCAAATACCAGCTGTGCCCTGTTTATAAAGTGAAAGCAATAATGCATTGTAAGTATGGACTAATAACCTGGTTTTTTTTTCTTTTGAGTCCAAGGGCACCTATAAGACTAACAGTTTCATTCTGGGTATGAGCTTTTGTGTGCCTGCACACTTCTTCAGATATGTTTTTTTTCTTTCTCACTAAAAAGAAATGGGGTTGCATCCAGTGTTCCCTCTAAGCTGAGTTAGTGTGAGCTAGCTCACAGGTTTTTAGCCTCCGGCTAACATATTTTTGTCTTAGCTCAGACCGGATGACTCCAGAGCAAACTAATTTATTCAGTAGCCAAATCCCTCGCTCACAACTTTAATGCCAGTAGCTCACAAGGTAGAATTTTTGCTCACAAGACTCCACAGCTTAGAGGGAGCATTGGTTGCATCTGCTTTTGCACGTACAGGTGCCTGCTTGGTTTTACAGAGCAACAATGCAGCTCCTGTTCTTATACCATGGGTCCCCAAACTTCTTCATTTATTTATTTATTGTGTGCGTGAGTGTGGAAGTCATGGGCGACCTCTGGCGACTGAACCCCTGCTGGGGGCCTGGAGGATATTCAGAGAGGTGGCTGAATGAAGCCTGCCCCCTCCTCCCGACTGCTGGTCTTCCAAGGAGGTCTCCCATCCAAGTACTTGCCAGAGTCGGCCCTGCTTAGCTTCTGAGATCTGATGAGATCGGGCTTGCCCAGGCGATCCATGTCAGGGCGGGTCCCAAACTTTCTTGAGCCTGCGGGCATCTTTGGAATTTTTATACCGTGTGGTGGACGCAGCCACAAAATGGCTGTTGCAGGAGGCAGAGCGAGCCACAAAATGGCAGCTTCAGGAGGCAGAGCAAGCCACAAAATGGCTGCTGCAGGAGGCAGAGTGAGCCACAAAATGGCTGCTGCCGCTTACCTCCAGTCACATAATGAAAATCATTGTGGTGTGGTGGCCAGGGGTCATTTTGTAGAAAAAGAGGTGCAGGAGCTCATTAGCATAACTCATTTGCATGTGCCACACCCCCTGACATCACCAGAAGTGTGTCAGAAGGCAACACCCACCACTCAGGCTCCACTGGACTGCTTTGGATTGCTAGCTATTGCGGGGGGAGGGGGGGACGTGCAGATCTGTCCTCGCAGAGGAGGGAGAGCTTGTACCTGAATAAAACTTGGTCTTAAAGGTGCCACTGGACTCTTTTGGATTGCTAGGTATTGGGGGGGGGGACGTGTAGATCTGTCCTCGCAGAGGAGGGAGAACTTGTACCTGAATAAAACTTGAGGTGCCACTGGACTGTTTTGGACCAGGGGCCGGGGGAGCTCTGCAACTTACCTGGCTGCTTCTTGCTCTGACTGAGGGCTGCTGGGAGCAGGGGGTGGGGCTTGTTGCATGTGCTTGCCTCCTGGGCTCTTTACTGCCGGAGCTCCGCTCCTGTGCACTCCTGCAAGAAATGACCCCTGGTGGTGGCTAACCCGTGCCAAAGCAACATATCTTTGTTGTAGCTCAGGATGGCTCCAGAGCAAACTAATTTATGCAGCAACCAAATCACCTGCCCACAACTTTAATGCCAGTGGCTCACCAAGTACAATTCTTTGCTCAGAAGATTCCACAGTTGAGAGGGAACATTGCCCCCTGTCTTATATTATAAAACTGATCACAACTAGTTCCTACTGCATTGCCAAACTGGTGTCTGAAGTGTACAACAAGTTTCAGGTTTTTTACACAGTTACTATGGCACAGCAGCTTAATAGCTCCAATAATATGTGAAGCCCACATAGAGAAAGGGAGAGGAAAGCAGCAGCATCTTTGGATACCTACAGCCAGAACTGCTGTACCCTTTCAAATAACTGGCCAGACGTAGACTGGCATTAGACACACAGCTAGGTACCTGAAATAAAGCTCTCAAAAATCTTGTTTGGACTTTTCCTAAAGGAGCAAAATGGGAAGGGGGGTGGGGTCTAAGTATTGTCCCATACATTAATGGGGGCAATTTTTTTACCTGAAATAACCGGAGGGCTGCTGGTACATACCATTGGTATGTGTAAATTTAAGAATGCTCTGTGCAGATTTTTGACCAGTTGTTGCAGCATAGTCACGGTGAGCAGTTCTACTCCTGGAAGAATTAATCACCACCCCTAAGTATTTAAAATAAAATCCTTGTTCCAGCTGATGGCCACTGACGTTCCAGGACCTTCTTTTCCAGCCAAGAGATCAATGCTAGAATCGGCTCTCCCTACTAAGCAGGAGGGAGGCAGTCCGCCTGCCTTCATTTTTCCCCTTAGATTTCGTTAGCCACCCTCTTTCTTCCAGACTTTAATGGGCACCCCCTCCAGAGCTCTTATTGTCAATGCACGGCTTGTCTTCCAGTGCGAAATGATGTGGTGAGGATCGACTCGACACTGGACGTTGACGTGGTTGACGTCACCGAGGAGTCTCAGCACATCCACTTCATCAAGCCGCTGATGCTGAGTGAGGTTCTACTGATGGATAACGTCCTGCCGGTGCGAGCAGAGATCCTTGGGGCCTCAGAGGATGCACCCATCTTCCACAGCAAGTGGGTCTCCCAGCTCCAACGAGGCTGCAAGATTCAGGTCCACGGCAAGGTGTCGTCATGGAAAATCCTGGCCTCTTCCCGCAAAGGCAGAAGACGCACTTGCCACTTCCTCATCTCCAGCAGCTACGAGGGCCGTTTTCGTCGCTGCCCGCGCGAGTTCCAATCAACCTCAGAACTGGCCAGTGGTCTGGGCCTGGCTAAGAAACTGCACGTGGTGGTCACCAAGGACTACGACGGCAGCGATACGGAGCTTCCACTGTTTGGCATAGGGGATCGGCTGGAAGTGCTCAGCCTCATGAGGGCGGCCAATCCCTCTGCCATGGACGCACTCGAATGCATCCGGGACAGTGGAGATGGAGACGCCGAGCGCATCAAGGTGCCCCTCTTCTTGGATGCGGGCTTTGTGGAAGAGGTTCGCGACAGCAGGAAGTACAGCCTCCCAGAGGTGGTGGAGCACTTCCAACTGCCCTGCGAGGTCAAGGTCGTGGCCAACAAGGATGCTCCCGATCCTCTCAGCTGTGTCTCGGTGCTGACTCTGGAGGCCCAGATCACAGAGCCTTTTCTCACAGTTAGTCTGGAGGAAGAGCCGTCTGCCACCTTTGAGGTTCCTCCCCAGTGGCTGGACGTGTCTCTGTTCTTCACTGGAGGCCCAGCAAAGCCCATGCCTCCCTCCAGCAGTCCCAAGGTAGAAGAGCTGACGGAGGCCTTTTACTATAGCTTGCTAAAGATGCTGCCGAACAACGCACCTGCTCCTCCAAGGCCCCCTAAGCGGAGCAATTCAGAGAAGAACAAGCAGTCCCAAAGGACTTCCAGAGAAGGGGGGAGGAAAACATCAGAACCCACTAAGGTATTGGACAACTGGGCGAAAAGGAGGAAATATGGGAGCTGGGTATATTCATGAAAAGTGTAAAAAATAATCTCCTAGATTCCATGCTCTGATCGGGAAGAGATGCTGGTTTAAGGTTATCAGAAGTTGTTTAGTTTTAATAAAATTCATCTGCAAGGTTCAGGAAAATGTCACAAAATCTGGAATTTGGCCAAAGATTCAAAGGTCATGGAAGGGAGGTACCATGACATGTAGTTTTCATCATTCTAGGGGGGGAAAGGTGGGACGTAGGGCAATGGAAAGGAAATAAGCAGTGTATGGCAGTCATCTCTATGTGGAGGCAGAGATATGGGGTGGGAAAGTTTCCACTTCTAAAAAAATGTTTTATTCCATAAAATAAGTCAAAATAAATATGCTAGATCAGATCCCTGTCTATTCAGGGCACTGAAAATTCTTCTAGTTCATGGGTTGGATCCAGCCAGTTTTTTTAAAAACTCAATACTCAACCAGTTTCCCTCCTTGCTATACACCGTCTCATGAGTTTTTTCCCAAGCTTTTTTCCCACCATAGCTTTTTGCGGAGGGGCTGTGGCTCAGGGGTAGAGCATCTGCTGTGCAGTCAGAAGGTCCCAAGTTCCATCCCCAGGGGTCATTTCGTAGAAAAAGAGGTGCAGGAGCTCATTAGCATAACTCATTTGCATATGCCACACCCCCTGACATCACCAGAAGTGTGTCAGAAGGCAACACCCACCGCTCAGGCTCCACTGGACTGTTTTAGATTGCTAACTATTGGGGTGGAGGAACATCCAGATCTGTCCTCACAGAGGAGGGAGAGCTTGTACCTGAATAAAAATTGGTCTTAAAGGTGCCACTGGACTGTTTTGGATCGGGGCAGCAGGGGCTTTGCTCTGCAACTTACCTGGCTGCTTCTTGCTCTGACTGTGGGCTGCTGGGAGCAGGGGGTGGAGCTTGTTGCATGTGCCTGCCTCCTGGGTGCCTTACTGTGCACTCCTGCAGGAAATGACCCCTGTCCATCCCCATCATCTCCAGTTCAAAAGGACCAGGCAGTAGGTGATGGATCTGAGAACCTGGAGGGCTGCTGTCAGTCTGAGCAGACAATACTGACCTTGATGGTCTGATTCAGTTTAAGGCCAGCTTCATGTGATGGTCTAAGGGGGCCTCCTCCTCACTTAGAGCTGGCTAAGTTGCGACCCCACCGTTTTCCAGAAAATTCCATGCACTGTGTGAGGGAGAGGAAAATGTATCACCTCCATCTTTTGCAGTCCGCATGGGGACTGAGGGGAGGAACCACAGTGGACAGGGTAGCCGGTTGCTGATTATGATTTCCTGGAATGTGCATAAAACTGAACAGTAGAATTCCTCTCTCCATATGCCAGCGTCTGTCCCAGTGGTAAAGACCTTAGCTGCTATTATTGCCACCGAATACGAACTGCATTCAGAACAAACTTTAATGTCGCTGCTTTCCTTTTATCAGCTACCTTCTACAGATTCAAAGGATATGTTCCGAGAGACTGCAAAACTTCTGTACCCCAGGACTCTGCAAGCAAGAGCAGATTCAGAGACTTTGGTTAACCCAAACCAGTATAGTATACAGTATGGACCTCCAAGACCCCAGAAGCCCACTAAAACTTTCAAACAAGCCATAGGTATGATTTGTTCTCCCCCTACAGGAAATGCATTAAATAGTGTGCCACGCGTGCCAAAATGCCTTCCCTGACATAAGCACTTCTTCAGAATTATCTTGGGAAGATATTCCATTAAGACGGAAAACAATGCTAGCACATTGCCCTCCACAGATGCAAAAATGAAACCACCAGGGCAAGCCAGTTGAAATAACAGCTAAAGTTTAGACTTAACAAACAGGCAACAATAAGAGTTGGATTTTATACCCCACTTTTCTCTATTTTTCTCTACCCTAAGGAGTCTCAAAGTGGCTTGCAATCGCCTTTCCCTCCCCCTCCCCGCAACAGGCACCTCGTGAGGTAGGTGGGGCTGAGAGAGTTCTGAGAGAACTGTGACTGGCCCAGGGTCACCCAGCAAGCTTCCTGTGGAGGAGGAGTGGGGAATCAAACCCAGTTCTCCAGATTAGAGGCCATTCCACTTAACTACTACACCACACTGAGATAAATACTTTATTCCCATCATACTTGTTAACACCACCCCTCTGCCAAAACTACGAAATCTGTGCAAAGCCAAGAGTAAAATCAAGGTGAAAAAAATATTCCCAACTGGAACTCCCAGATTAGAAATAGATAAATTCAGGAGAAAACTGGGAAGCCAAAATGGCCTGGGGAAAGAGCCATACTGCACCTTTCCCAGGGAGAGAGGACCAGCTGGTGGCAGCAGCAGCACTTTGGGAGATCTACTGAGGGCTGGGGCCTCCCTGGTTATCAGTCCATCAACTTTCCCCAGTGGTCATAATGGCCAACATGTCCCTGGATTATGGATAATCCCTGCCCCTGGGATAACGGATTCAGTGGATGGGATGATTAAAGCAAGCTGTTCTTAACAATGCAATGGTATAGCACAGGGGTCCCCAACGTGGTGCCAATGGGTGCCTGCCAGTTCTTTTAGAAAGTGGGTGGGGCCAGGAGAGGCTTTTGCCTAGCAAGGCCTCTGAGTGGCCACTGGACATTTGGTTGGCTGTGCAGATTTTTAAAAACGTTGCTTTGGCGGCAGCTGCCACCACAGCACAAAGGCCTTCACTGTGTGACTGAAGGTAAGCAGCGGCAGCCATCTTGCAGCTGGCTCCACCTCCTGCAGCAGCCATCTTGTGGCTGCGCCCACCATGCTGTGTCAGAAGTCCAGAGGTGCCTGCAGGCTCAAAAGGGTTGGGGACCACCGGTACAGTGGCTGGTGGGTGGATGTGGCCTATGGCAACCTGAATTCCAATCCCTGTACAGCCATGATGTTCTGTGGGTGGCCTTGGACAGTAGATCGCTGTTCTTTAGCCTAGTCTACCTCCCAATGGTCTGATAAAATTGAGACCACCTTCCTCTGTGATGCCAGGAGCTCCTTGGGAGTATAGCCAGACAGAGATGTAGGAAAGCAACTGAACATGCCTGCCTCAAGCTCCAGAGGACCTAGGTCTGTCCTACTGTGTACAAACTAGCTCTCTTTTCTTTCATTTTCAGATGCACATTCCAGTGATAACTCCGATCATGATTATGAGGACATTTGTGAAAGATTTCAAGAAACTGCTCGCAAAATGTAAGGAGCTACTATTGAACACCGAGGCAGGTCGTTTCCCCCATTATTTCCAATCAGCAACAGCTCTGTTGATTTTGGAACCTGGACTGGGAGACAGATAGATCAAGGTGGTCAGTCGTGTTGGTCTGAAGCAGTAGAACAAATTTAGAGTCCAGTCAGGCACCTTTAAGACCAACAACATTTTATTCAAGATATGAGCTTTCGTGTGCATGCACACTTTTTCAAATACAATGGAATGATAGGTAAGGTTCAAACAGATAGTAAGCGGGACAGCAGAGGTCATGACTAACACTCCAAAGCTAGCATGACAGAAGGCCAGAAGATCCCCCCTCCCAACTGAGGTAAAAACTAACCAAATGCCGTCTTTATACCTTGTGTCCTAAAGGGGGCATGATCTCAGTACTGCTGGATTCCAATATGAGCTCTTAGGACCAGAGATCATTTCCTGCAGGAGCGCACAGGAGCGAAGCTCCGGCAGTAAAGAGCCCAGGGGGCGGGCTCATGCAACAAGCCCCCCCCTGCTCCCAGCAGCCCTCAGTCAGAGCAAGAAGCAGCCAGGTAAGCAGCAGAGCCCCCCCCAATAGTCCAGTGGCCCCTTTAAGATAAAGTTTTATTCAGGTACAAGCTCTCCCTCCTCTGCGAGGACAGATCTGCCCGTTCCCCCCCCCCCCCATAGCTAGCAATCGAGAGGAAAGCAGCAGCATCTTTGGATACCTACAGCCAGAACTGCTGTACCCTTTCAAATAACTGGCCAGACGTAGACTGGCATTAGACACACAGCTAGGTACCTGAAATAAAGCTCTCAAAAATCTTGTTTGGACTTTTCCTAAAGGAGCAAAATGGGAAGGGGGGTGGGGTCTAAGTATTGTCCCATACATTAATGGGGGCAATTTTTTTACCTGAAATAACCGGAGGGCTGCTGGTACATACCATTGGTATGTGTAAATTTAAGAATGCTCTGTGCAGATTTTTGACCAGTTGTTGCAGCATAGTCACGGTGAGCAGTTCTACTCCTGGAAGAATTAATCACCACCCCTAAGTATTTAAAATAAAATCCTTGTTCCAGCTGATGGCCACTGACGTTCCAGGACCTTCTTTTCCAGCCAAGAGATCAATGCTAGAATCGGCTCTCCCTACTAAGCAGGAGGGAGGCAGTCCGCCTGCCTTCATTTTTCCCCTTAGATTTCGTTAGCCACCCTCTTTCTTCCAGACTTTAATGGGCACCCCCTCCAGAGCTCTTATTGTCAATGCACGGCTTGTCTTCCAGTGCGAAATGATGTGGTGAGGATCGACTCGACACTGGACGTTGACGTGGTTGACGTCACCGAGGAGTCTCAGCACATCCACTTCATCAAGCCGCTGATGCTGAGTGAGGTTCTACTGATGGATAACGTCCTGCCGGTGCGAGCAGAGATCCTTGGGGCCTCAGAGGATGCACCCATCTTCCACAGCAAGTGGGTCTCCCAGCTCCAACGAGGCTGCAAGATTCAGGTCCACGGCAAGGTGTCGTCATGGAAAATCCTGGCCTCTTCCCGCAAAGGCAGAAGACGCACTTGCCACTTCCTCATCTCCAGCAGCTACGAGGGCCGTTTTCGTCGCTGCCCGCGCGAGTTCCAATCAACCTCAGAACTGGCCAGTGGTCTGGGCCTGGCTAAGAAACTGCACGTGGTGGTCACCAAGGACTACGACGGCAGCGATACGGAGCTTCCACTGTTTGGCATAGGGGATCGGCTGGAAGTGCTCAGCCTCATGAGGGCGGCCAATCCCTCTGCCATGGACGCACTCGAATGCATCCGGGACAGTGGAGATGGAGACGCCGAGCGCATCAAGGTGCCCCTCTTCTTGGATGCGGGCTTTGTGGAAGAGGTTCGCGACAGCAGGAAGTACAGCCTCCCAGAGGTGGTGGAGCACTTCCAACTGCCCTGCGAGGTCAAGGTCGTGGCCAACAAGGATGCTCCCGATCCTCTCAGCTGTGTCTCGGTGCTGACTCTGGAGGCCCAGATCACAGAGCCTTTTCTCACAGTTAGTCTGGAGGAAGAGCCGTCTGCCACCTTTGAGGTTCCTCCCCAGTGGCTGGACGTGTCTCTGTTCTTCACTGGAGGCCCAGCGAAGCCCATGCCTCCCTCCAGCAGTCCCAAGGTAGAAGAGCTGACGGAGGCCTTTTACTATAGCTTGCTAAAGATGCTGCCGAACAACGCACCTGCTCCTCCAAGGCCCCCTAAGCGGAGCAATTCAGAGAAGAACAAGCAGTCCCAAAGGACTTCCAGAGAAGGGGGGAGGAAAACATCAGAACCCACTAAGGTATTGGACAACTGGGCGAAAAGGAGGAAATATGGGAGCTGGGTATATTCATGAAAAGTGTAAAAAATAATCTCCTAGATTCCATGCTCTGATCGGGAAGAGATGCTGGTTTAAGGTTATCAGAAGTTGTTTAGTTTTAATAAAATTCATCTGCAAGGTTCAGGAAAATGTCACAAAATCTGGAATTTGGCCAAAGATTCAAAGGTCATGGAAGGGAGGTACCATGACATGTAGTTTTCATCATTCTAGGGGGGGAAAGGTGGGACGTAGGGCAATGGAAAGGAAATAAGCAGTGTATGGCAGTCATCTCTATGTGGAGGCAGAGATATGGGGTGGGAAAGTTTCCACTTCTAAAAAAATGTTTTATTCCATAAAATAAGTCAAAATAAATATGCTAGATCAGATCCCTGTCTATTCAGGGCACTGAAAATTCTTCTAGTTCATGGGTTGGATCCAGCCAGTTTTTTAAAAAACTCAATACTCAACCAGTTTCCCTCCTTGCTATACACCGTCTCATGAGTTTTTTCCCAAGCTTTTTTCCCACCATAGCTTTTTGCGGAGGGGCTGTGGCTCAGGGGTAGAGCATCTGCTGTGCAGTCAGAAGGTCCCAAGTTCCATCCCCAGGGGTCATTTCGTAGAAAAAGAGGTGCAGGAGCTCATTAGCATAACTCATTTGCATATGCCACACCCCCTGACATCACCAGAAGTGTGTCAGAAGGCAACACCCACCGCTCAGGCTCCACTGGACTGTTTTAGATTGCTAACTATTGGGGTGGAGGAACATCCAGATCTGTCCTCACAGAGGAGGGAGAGCTTGTACCTGAATAAAAATTGGTCTTAAAGGTGCCACTGGACTGTTTTGGATCGGGGCAGCAGGGGCTTTGCTCTGCAACTTACCTGGCTGCTTCTTGCTCTGACTGTGGGCTGCTGGGAGCAGGGGGTGGAGCTTGTTGCATGTGCCTGCCTCCTGGGTGCCTTACTGTGCACTCCTGCAGGAAATGACCCCTGTCCATCCCCATCATCTCCAGTTCAAAAGGACCAGGCAGTAGGTGATGGATCTGAGAACCTGGAGGGCTGCTGTCAGTCTGAGCAGACAATACTGACCTTGATGGTCTGATTCAGTTTAAGGCCAGCTTCATGTGATGGTCTAAGGGGGCCTCCTCCTCACTTAGAGCTGGCTAAGTTGCGACCCCACCGTTTTCCAGAAAATTCCATGCACTGTGTGAGGGAGAGGAAAATGTATCACCTCCATCTTTTGCAGTCCGCATGGGGACTGAGGGGAGGAACCACAGTGGACAGGGTAGCCGGTTGCTGATTATGATTTCCTGGAATGTGCATAAAACTGAACAGTAGAATTCCTCTCTCCATATGCCAGCGTCTGTCCCAGTGGTAAAGACCTTAGCTGCTATTATTGCCACCGAATACGAACTGCATTCAGAACAAACTTTAATGTCGCTGCTTTCCTTTTATCAGCTACCTTCTACAGATTCAAAGGATATGTTCCGAGAGACTGCAAAACTTCTGTACCCCAGGACTCTGCAAGCAAGAGCAGATTCAGAGACTTTGGTTAACCCAAACCAGTATAGTATACAGTATGGACCTCCAAGACCCCAGAAGCCCACTAAAACTTTCAAACAAGCCATAGGTATGATTTGTTCTCCCCCTACAGGAAATGCATTAAATAGTGTGCCACGCGTGCCAAAATGCCTTCCCTGACATAAGCACTTCTTCAGAATTATCTTGGGAAGATATTCCATTAAGACGGAAAACAATGCTAGCACATTGCCCTCCACAGATGCAAAAATGAAACCACCAGGGCAAGCCAGTTGAAATAACAGCTAAAGTTTAGACTTAACAAACAGGCAACAATAAGAGTTGGATTTTATACCCCACTTTTCTCTATTTTTCTCTACCCTAAGGAGTCTCAAAGTGGCTTGCAATCGCCTTTCCCTCCCCCTCCCCGCAACAGGCACCTCGTGAGGTAGGTGGGGCTGAGAGAGTTCTGAGAGAACTGTGACTGGCCCAGGGTCACCCAGCAAGCTTCCTGTGGAGGAGGAGTGGGGAATCAAACCCAGTTCTCCAGATTAGAGGCCATTCCACTTAACTACTACACCACACTGAGATAAATACTTTATTCCCATCATACTTGTTAACACCACCCCTCTGCCAAAACTACGAAATCTGTGCAAAGCCAAGAGTAAAATCAAGGTGAAAAAAATATTCCCAACTGGAACTCCCAGATTAGAAATAGATAAATTCAGGAGAAAACTGGGAAGCCAAAATGGCCTGGGGAAAGAGCCATACTGCACCTTTCCCAGGGAGAGAGGACCAGCTGGTGGCAGCAGCAGCACTTTGGGAGATCTACTGAGGGCTGGGGCCTCCCTGGTTATCAGTCCATCAACTTTCCCCAGTGGTCATAATGGCCAACATGTCCCTGGATTATGGATAATCCCTGCCCCTGGGATAACGGATTCAGTGGATGGGATGATTAAAGCAAGCTGTTCTTAACAATGCAATGGTATAGCACAGGGGTCCCCAACGTGGTGCCAATGGGTGCCTGCCAGTTCTTTTAGAAAGTGGGTGGGGCCAGGAGAGGCTTTTGCCTAGCAAGGCCTCTGAGTGGCCACTGGACATTTGGTTGGCTGTGCAGATTTTTAAAAACGTTGCTTTGGCGGCAGCTGCCACCACAGCACAAAGGCCTTCACTGTGTGACTGAAGGTAAGCAGCGGCAGCCATCTTGCAGCTGGCTCCACCTCCTGCAGCAGCCATCTTGTGGCTGCGCCCACCATGCTGTGTCAGAAGTCCAGAGGTGCCTGCAGGCTCAAAAGGGTTGGGGACCACCGGTACAGTGGCTGGTGGGTGGATGTGGCCTATGGCAACCTGAATTCCAATCCCTGTACAGCCATGATGTTCTGTGGGTGGCCTTGGACAGTAGATCGCTGTTCTTTAGCCTAGTCTACCTCCCAATGGTCTGATAAAATTGAGACCACCTTCCTCTGTGATGCCAGGAGCTCCTTGGGAGTATAGCCAGACAGAGATGTAGGAAAGCAACTGAACATGCCTGCCTCAAGCTCCAGAGGACCTAGGTCTGTCCTACTGTGTACAAACTAGCTCTCTTTTCTTTCATTTTCAGATGCACATTCCAGTGATAACTCCGATCATGATTATGAGGACATTTGTGAAAGATTTCAAGAAACTGCTCGCAAAATGTAAGGAGCTACTATTGAACACCGAGGCAGGTCGTTTCCCCCATTATTTCCAATCAGCAACAGCTCTGTTGATTTTGGAACCTGGACTGGGAGACAGATAGATCAAGGTGGTCAGTCGTGTTGGTCTGAAGCAGTAGAACAAATTTAGAGTCCAGTCAGGCACCTTTAAGACCAACAACATTTTATTCAAGATATGAGCTTTCGTGTGCATGCACACTTTTTCAAATACAATGGAATGATAGGTAAGGTTCAAACAGATAGTAAGCGGGACAGCAGAGGTCATGACTAACACTCCAAAGCTAGCATGACAGAAGGCCAGAAGATCCCCCCTCCCAACTGAGGTAAAAACTAACCAAATGCCGTCTTTATACCTTGTGTCCTAAAGGGGGCATGATCTCAGTACTGCTGGATTCCAATATGAGCTCTTAGGACCAGAGATCATTTCCTGCAGGAGCGCACAGGAGCGAAGCTCCGGCAGTAAAGAGCCCAGGGGGCGGGCTCATGCAACAAGCCCCCCCCTGCTCCCAGCAGCCCTCAGTCAGAGCAAGAAGCAGCCAGGTAAGCAGCAGAGCCCCCCCCAATAGTCCAGTGGCCCCTTTAAGATAAAGTTTTATTCAGGTACAAGCTCTCCCTCCTCTGCGAGGACAGATCTGCCCGTCCCCCCCCCCCAATAGCTACCAATCCAAAACAGTCCAGTGGAGCCTCACCAGTGGGTGTTGCCTTCTGACACACTTCCGGTGATGTGGGTGTGGCATATGCAAATGAGTTATGCTAATGAGCTCCTGCACTTCTTTTTCTACGAAATGACCCCTGCTTAGGACTAATCAACCTTGTCAAAAACCCACATAAGAGTAAACATAGCCAATTAGGAGCAAACAGGGCCTAACTAAGGCAACAAAGAGAACTTCCATCTGCCCTCCCACTCAGTAAAATTACTGCCTGAACTCAGGGGCGGCTATACGAAACACCACTCATAGGCTTGACTGGTACAAACAATAATGCAGCCTCTTTTAGTATGCTACCCCATAAAATGAGATATCAGTCAAGACCAGTGTTCCCTCTAAGCTGAGTTAGTGTGAGCTAGCTCAGTTTTTTAGCCTCCGGCTCACACATTTTTGTCTTAGCTCAGGAGGGATGGCTCCAGAGCAAACTAATTTATGCAGTAGCCAAATCACCTGCTCACAATTTTAATACCAGTAGCTCACAAAGTAGAATTTTTGCTCACAAGACTCCACAGCTTAGAGGGAACATTGGTCAAGACTTATTACGAAACATAGAAGCATGACAGTTTGTAAATCTTCTCTGACCTTCAATTTCTTAAAATTATGTTTTAACAAGTTATCCTTAGAGGAATAACACAAGGATTTGGTAAATGTCTCAACATAAGCCTCCTCCCCTATTTCAATATTAACCTTTAAAGCCTGATTGTTTGGGACCAGCATACCTTACGGACCACCTACTCCCCTATGAACCTACCCAACCACTACAGTCATCTTCTGAAGCCCTGATTTTGGGTGTCCCTGCCTTCTGAGGTTAGGTGGATGGCAACCCAAGAGGGCCTTTTCAGTTGTGGCACCAAGACGGTGAAACTCCATGCCCAGGGATATCCGTCCCCTTCTATCATGGTCTTTGCCCCCAGCTGAAGAGGGGTTTTTTTTGTTGCATCTGGAACTCTCTCAACGATTCCTCCTTCCTGCCCTGTAATTTAATTGTTGTTTTTACATATGTATTTTAAGTTTTGCTTTTACTTGATTTTTTAATTTTGGTTTTTTTACTGTACTGTTTATAATTGCCAGCTGTTTCGGTGGCCCCGACTGGGCACAAAGGCCGGATATTAAATTTTGTAAATACACGAATAAAGCACAATCACATTGCATTTGTAGATTGTATGGAATACTGTCAACCAAAACTTCTTCAAAACGCTGTCATATCAACACTTTGTATTATATTGGGGTATTGTTTCCATGGAGGTTAAAATAGTTGAACTGAACAAACTAGGTAAGCTTATGCCACACTATCAAAACCTGTCTTTTAGACCTTAGAAACCACAGAATCGCAGTGTTGGAAGGGGCCATACAGGCCATCTAGTTCAACCCCCTGCTCAATGCAGGATCAGCCTAGAGCATCCCTGACAAGTGTCTGTCCTGCCTCTGCTTACAGACTGCCAGTGAGGGGGAGCTCACCACCTCCCTAGGCAGCTGATCCCACTGTTGCACAACTCTTGCCTGTAGAAAACTGTATACAAACACACACTGTGCCACATTATATGCTGTGCTTCTGTATCCACCTTTTACAACTGCTGCTAAAATAAGAGCAAGGCTTTGCTTTTTACCCAGCAGTAAGCTATCCCACTCCTGCCAACCTAGCAGTTCGAAAGCAAGAAATTGCAAGTAGATAAATAGGGACCACTTCGGTGGGAAGGTAACAGCGTTCCGTGCGCCTTGGTGTTTAGTCATGCCGGCCACATGACCACGGAAATGTCTTTGGACAGCGCTGGCTCTTCGGTTTTGAAACGGAGATTAGCACCGCAACCCTAGAGTCGGATTTGACTGGCTTTCGAGCAAGGGAACCTTTACCTTTTAAGCTATCCCATGGCAAAAAAAGGACTTTTCCTGTATTGCACCAACCTTTCTTCCACAATGAAACAAAGTCGCTCACACAAGATTCCTAGGTAGGGTTTCCCATCCAAGCACTGATCACACCAAGCTCTGCTTAGCTTCAACAAGGTTACTGCATCATGTGCCCTGCAATGAGATCCTGAGACCTATTTTCTTTGCTTTATTACCTAAAAAAGCTGTTGTTGTTGTTTTTAAAACCTGCTGGTTAAAAATCAACCAACTTAGCATACAGCTGAACTAAATTTAATATGCAGATGGGCTCTTTGTTATATTAATGAGTTGTACAAAAAAGTTTGATGTCATATTTTTCTCAAATATTTCTGCTGAAATTGAACTGCTAAAAAAGAAGAGTTGGTTTTAATACCCCACTTTTCTCTACTTTAAGGAGTCTCAGCGCAGCTTACAATGGCCTTCCCTTCCCCTCCTTGCAACAGGCACCTTGTGATGTTGGTGGGGCTGAGGGAGTTCTGGGAGACCTGTGACTGCCCCAGGGTCACCCAGCAGGCTTCATGTGAAGGAGGAGTGGGGAATCAAATTCGGTTCTCCAGATTAGAGTCTGTCGCTCTTAAGCACTACACCATGCTGGACTTGAAACAGACCTGGGCTAGCAGTGCAGCTGGTTCTCTAGAATTTTTTCTTTAAAAATGTGGGATTTACCTGGATCTGCTAGATGTCATAACCTGCAACTCATGGCACAAGAGCACTGTGGTATCCCCAACACCCAAGCACAATAGAGCATTCTCCCAGGGAGGGGGAAAAAAAAGAACTGATGAAAATGAAAAAAAGTAAGCTTTATTAGGCTATAAAAATAAGGCACATCTACAACAGAAGTGCAGAAGAGGACAGACTAAAGATTTTTTTTAAGAAAAGAAAACAGAACATTTCCCCCCTACTCTGTTTGAGATGCCACTTCTAAATCATGGCAACTGACTCAATACAGCGGAGACTCCGCTTCCAAAATCACCCTTATACAAGACATACATTTATTTAGGGCAGAGAACTTGGAAGCTTCCAGATGCTTCATGCAGACACCTCCTGAAATCCCTGAAATGGATGTACAATGCAATCCTAAATAGAGCTGTACCCTTCTAAAGTCCACTGAAGTCAACGGGCTTAGAATGGTGTTAACTCTGTTTAGGACTGCACTGTTACTTATTTCAGCTAGTCGTACGTATGCGCTTAAGGAGGTCAGCCCAGTTGAGTGGTAAATGAAGTGTCACTTCCAAAGGAACAGATCCCTCTTCACAGATGTGCGTCTATGGATGTTCTACATTAGTGGGGAGGCACAGTACACACCAGCGGTTGCTCAGTGCAGAGCCCGCTCAGCTCCAAAGAGTCACCTTCCCAAGTTGCCCTTATTCAGCATCCGTCGATTTAAAATGGTCATCGTCAATAGTGGAATAGATATGCCCTTCACTGCTGAGAAACTCAACAGCTTTCCTGGATAGAAGAGAAAGAAAAACAATTGCCATGTAATCTGGGACTTCCTCTTCGGCGCTTTGTCCTCTACCCCTTGCCCTAAACAAAACACGCTGGAGTGAAACACACCAGGTGGAAACAAAGGGGGAGGGGGAAGCCACACGGCTACTCAAAGGGCAAAAGAGACTACTACCGTAAATGAGAGAGCTTCCAGTTCTTGTGGCAATTTTGCTGATTGTATCCACTGGCTATGGAGGCAGCTTTAACTAGGAATGGGAGAAAAATATGCCCACCACATGCACGACCCAAATGTATTTAAACCATTTTTTTTTAAAAAAAATTCTGCTCTCTTAACCAAGTAGTTCTTCGTAGCAGCTTACAAACTCATTTCAAAACAATTAAAATATAAATTTGGTACCCAAGCGAACAGAAAAGGAACAATGTTGGGAGACAAAAGAGAAAGCCTCTGTGGCTTGGAGATTGTCATTACGACTGTTCGTACTGTGCCTGAGCATATCTGAGTCCAATAGAAAGCAGAAATAGTCAACACTGATGCACAGATAATTCAGGGATCCAAGATGGAGTCGCTTGTGGTTCACTGGACAACACAGGAAAGCAGACATCAGCACCGCATGGTGTCTGCAATTTTACTAGACTCCCTGTGGTCCACCAACATGCTCTATATTTACAAGTAGTACTCAAGACCTCTTAAGAACTCCAGTGTAGATGCCCTGATCTGGATAGCCCAGGCAAGCCCGATCTCGGAAGCTAAGCAGGGCCAACCCTAGCGAGTATTTGGATGGGAGACTTCCAAAAAATACCAGGGCCAGGAGGTAGAGTCAGGCTATCAAGACACTTTTCTGAACGTCCTCCATCCCCCAGTAGGCGTCGTCAAAGGTCGCCATGACTTTCTGGCACAGGGACAAACACACACAAAAATGCAAGAATACGGTCGAGACTGTGCCGGCGCGGCGACGGGCGGAGTGTGGCTTCTCTCCGTGCCACCCGACCGCTTACGGCTCTTTCCGAGTCTCCCGGTTGCCGGGAGAACTTGGCCAGCCCTCTCGGAGTGAGGGCTGGAGTAAGGGGCGTCTTTTTTGGCCCCTCCCGCATTCGGCAAAGCGGGTGTGTGTGTGTCCAGAAACAGTTCCGATACAAGACCATGCGAAGGGGAAGAACATGGCCGCCGCCATGTTTGGATTAGCTGCTGCCTTCTGGATTTTTAACTAAATGTAAGCTACAACAAGGAATTTATTAATACGGCAAGACAGAAGAAAACTGAAAGTGTGAGTAATTTGTGTTGGAGTGCAAAGAAAATTCCAAAAGAGGATGTGTCCAAACGCGAAAGTGAAAATGGCCGGGAGAAGTAAGGGACTTATTTTGTATTGTTGCTTGAAGTGGGGAAAAGAAAGTATAACTGTTGGCGTGTTCATTGTTTGATGGACTTGTACTATTGGCAAAGACGTAATAAAAAAGTGGCTGCTGAAAAGGTTTACAGAATGCAGGGAACTTTTTTTTGGAAGTCTAATTGGAAGGCTATGGAGAACTTATTGGAAATGGTGGATGAGACGGAAGCTGATCAGGAGCTTGACGGAAATGCCGAGCTGGGCGAGCTGAACATTGAACAGTTTTTGGAAATACTGAGGGTAACAATCCAAAGAGAATGCAAAGAGGCATGTGAGAAAATAGTGGCAAAATTGGATAACGTCCAGAGAGAGTTTGGAAAGACGGAGGAAGCAGAATGGCCCAATGTGAGGGAGACATCAGAGGAGCGGCAAAAGGAGAAGTGTGTTGATGTTAAAGAAAAAGAACTGGAGCCTACACAAGGAAAGGAACATTTGTTAAATGAAAGAACTGGAAAGAATTTAAAGGGAAAAGAGCTGATATGTATTAAAGTAGGACTACCTAACTATAATAAGAGGCAGAAGAAGAATGAAAGAGAAGGAGTAAGGAGGATCAAGAGAAGGAAAAGAAGGGCCTGGAAATTTAAAGAGAACAGCAAAAGAAAGAAAATGGAATGGTTGATCAACAGCAAGGAGAAATCGGGGAAGCTAAGAAGACATAAAGATCGAAGGCATGTAGATAGGTTGAAGCAGAAAAGCAGATTGCTGATGTGTAAGAGAAAGATTAAGCTATTTAGAAAGATAGAATGAATGCTTTACACCCAAGATAGGATCAGATGGAATAATGACCTGGAAGTTTAATATTTAATTTTGTATAACGTAAATTGTTTGGTTTTGTTGTTTGTGTGAGCTGAATAGAATAACAGGACGGGATGTGTAGCCCCGATAAGGACTTAGTGTGTTATTGGACATTAATAAGATCTTAATGAAGATTGGCAATAATTTAATAATAAAAATAAATTATTGAAGGGGAAAACAAATTGGTAATGCAAGTAAAAGAGTAGATTGTTGGGGTTTAGGAGAAAAATTAAGTCATATAGAAAGATACAATGATTGGGTGATACATGATGGGATGGAATAATGAATTAGAATAAATTTAAGTATGTATAGGGGTTTTCTGTATTTATGTCTTTTGGTATTTTAAGGTTTGAGATTATTATAAAATCATGATGGGAAATTTACTGATTTAATGTGATATTGGGTATTAATAGGACATTTAATAAAAATGAATTGGTAAGTTAGGATGTAAACTTTAAAGTAACTTATAAAAAGCTTTATGGATGTTATTTATTTAAACATGTTTGTATTTGTTGGTATATTGTGGTATTGGGTTACAATATCAATTGCGGGTCAAACAAAGATAACTTACTGTGGGAAGGTATAACTAATACATAGGAGATAAAGAGTTAATGGAAAATTAAGGGGAAAAATAAAAAAAAGAAAAAAGAAAAGATAAATAAATTTGACTTTAAACCCTGTGTCCCATACTGGAAATAAGGTGCCGTAGGATACTAGTATGTTATAATATTGCCAATATGATCTTATTTAGGGCAGTATTTTATTCCAGAGGAAAATTAAAAGTTATATTGCTTTTTATTCAACTCAGATTGGAGAATATGACTGATATCTCTGTGTTGCTGGAAAGAGAATAATGAGTCAAAAAAAATGTATATGTATTCTTGTCGATTAGATATGTATGTATGATACAGGCTTATATTGGAAAAACCTAATAAATATATTGTGCAAAAAAAAAAAAGCAAGAATACGAAAGAAAAATTACAGTGTAGCTCAGTGGTCCCCAACGTGGTACCTGTGGGTGCTGGCCAAGTGTTTTTAGAAAGCGGGCAGGGCCAGATAGGGCTTTCCCCCAGCAAGGCTTTTTGCTGTGGAGATTTTCTAAACATGCTGCTTTGGCAGCGGCTACCATCAAAGCACAAGGATTTTTACTGTGTGACCAAAGGTAACCTGCAGGTGCCATTTTGTGGCTGGGCCCACCCCACGGTGTCAGAATCCCAAAGGTGCCTGCCGGTTCAAAAGGGCTGGGGACCCCTGGCATAGCTGATGTGTTGAGTGATCTCAAAGATGCCCAGATCAGACCAGTATCCAGCTAGCACACCACTCATAAGGAGAGCCCTGCTGGATCAGAGCAGTGCTCTGCCTAGTCCCACATCCTGTTTCACACAGCAGCTAAAACATGTGCCCTGGAGGGTCAATGAACAGGGCAGAGGCCAAAACCTTCCCCTAACGCTGCTTCCGGGCACTGCGATTCAGAGGTTTACTGCCTCTGTGTATGGAGGTTTTCAAGCATCCCAGCAACCAGGTGGTCCACTGGAAACTGGCCTCTGTTGACTTCTTGCCCATCCCTGGCTACATGCCAAGAGTTCTGAAAACCCCTCCCCCAAATAATAAAGCAGGTTCAGCTGTACAACTGCATTGTTTAGCACTGTGCCATTCAAAGAGGTTTCAAAGCCAAGAAGCCAGCAAGACAAATCCTGGTTGATCCCACCACAATAAGCCACGCCCCCTCCCCTACTTTCTTTTATTCTGGGGCAGCTCTTCCTTTAAAAAGCCCAGGATCCCCTGCATGCATGGACTCACTTGATTGTAGCCACGTTCATATTATGCAACTGCGACTTCAGTTCCTGAAGAGTTATCCCCTCAGAACGTATGCAGCTTTTGATCAAGTTCAGAACCTTGGAAAGCAAAATTCAAGCAAGATTATTTCAAACCCAAATAAGAAGAGGAAGGAAGACTTTTCACACACCCACTTGCTAATGAACAAGGCTTTACTGAAATTCTAAACACATAGCTTTACCACATACCTCCAGCAATGAAATCTGCAGTGACTTTTTAAAAACACATACAGGAATCGCAATAGTAGTTAATGCACCAATGCACCGATACCCACTCAGTGGCCCAGGAGCCACAGATGGCTCTTTGGCATCCCACCTGTGGCTTCTCTGAGAACTGTTCCCCAATGTGGCACCTGTCCTGTTTCCAGGAAAATGGGTATGAACATTGCCTGGTAGGGCTTGTGGGTCACACTGTGAATCAGCTGCCACTGGAAGGACTGTAGGACAGGTGAGCTGCAAGCCTAAGTTGCAGGCCTCAAGCCAAAGACCGAGGTAAAGGGTCCATCCTCTCCAACAATCACCCAACCTTCTTTGCAGCCTCTCAAGTTCTTTGCCACGAACAGCTAACGTACTTTAAAAAGCCCAGTGGAGAAGGGGGGGGGGGGGAAAGGCTGGTGAACTGCAGCATTGACACACGGGATCCAACAGGAAAGTCCCAGGGCCTCCATCTTTGTGCTGACCCTGGCAGCCCACTGCTGCTCTCTCACTCCCTCCTGCCCCCCTCTGTAGCACAGCTGTACAACCCAGGGCCTTGCAAGAAGCTGGCTGCAGCTCCTTGGGCAGGATCCTGAAGCTAACTGAAGAACAGTCCCATGCTCTCTGTTCTGGCCTTGTGCCATGGAAAGGGGGGGGCGCGGATAAGGTTCCACTGTGCCACTGGGGAAATGTCCAGCTTTCCAATGGCAAATGGGGCAGAGAGGAATGGCTCCACCACCCCTGCAATGCCGCTTTAGAGATTTCTGCCACTGCAGTCAGGATTATGCCATGTGAAGGATTCTAAGAGTTCAATGTATTGTGTTTACTGATGGAAGGCAGGCAAGCCGCAGCTGGGTTTTGCTGGGGGTGAAGGCAGCTGCTAAGCTCAGACCAAGAGACTGTATATTCTCCTCCTGGCATAAAAACATTGAGAACTTGGCCCATCTGCCAAGGACAGGCACAGCAGCCACTGGAGGCGGGGGGGAGCAAGGAGGGGAAATCGGGACGAGTATGCCCAGAACTGCGCAAACACATACCTGACTCTCGTGTGGTGAGAGTCCACGCACTGGCATGGCTACGCTTCCTCCGTAGCTGGTTGTGTTGCCCATCCCTGAAGGAGCAAACGACCGAGGCACCATCATCGACGTTGACTAAAAAGTGAAGGAATGAGACAACGGCAAGCTACAGACACTGAATAATTGTGTGCATGGGAAATGAAGAACATCAGGTTTGGACTGTTAACAAACAAGATATGGGAGTAGAGATACGTGCCAGGGAAACAGAGCTGTCTGGGGTCTTTAGCTTCACTGCTGCGAGTCTTCAGCCCAATAGGGTTTCTACACTATTTAAAGCTTTATGTTGTTTCCTGCACCCACCCACATAGGAAGTCAGCACCTACGAGAAACACATACCACCTATAAATCACGACTGTTTCATACTTGGGCACCAATCCTAGACTACCTGAAGTCGCAAGCTGTGATTCCTGCTACGACCGATAATTTGGACCTGATAAATCTCTGATTAGCCTCATGTTAGGTCTACAGTCTGTCCTGTGGAGTGTAGTTATAGTAATTTATTGAGTTAGATCCTTGTTGTTTTATAAAGTAGTTTATATGAACCTTTTTTTAATTATGGGGGGGTGAGGGGAATCCGGGGTATAAAAAAGGGGGAAAAAAACATAGGAAGTCAGCATCTTGTTTCTACGTGCGTACCATGAGGCTGTCTTTTCTCAGGCTCATGTGTGCATTGACGACTTCCAGCATGTGTGTGGTCAACACATTCATGTCCTCCAGCGGCATGATCTTGAAGGCAACCAGGCTCTTCTTGTTCTAGCAAAAACAGAAGCAGAAGGAAAAGGTTTTAGTTTGGGATTCACATGATTCAGTTTCTTTTCAATAAAACAGCCCATAAAGCACAATAGCTCGTGGACCAACTCACGCTGGGTCTAATACAAACAGTCATTACAGTGAAACATGCAAATAATTCTGAATCAAAAGGTTCACATCACAAAAAGGGTGGCACTAGTGCATTTAAAAGTTAGCTAAAAATATCAGTCAGCCAGCTATGAGAATTGGATCAAAGTCCTCAGGCTCCAATCAGTCAAGAGTTTCAGGACTGAATCACAGTGGTGTTTTAGTGCCCATGAAATAAATCTTGCCACTATTTCTGTGGTCCTTTTGTCAGATTCCAAAAGAAGATTTAACAGATGGTAATCCCCAGAGTGGACTGGAAATGTAGCCATGAGCAGAGCTAACATATGCGCAGCGTACAACTTACAGGAAAACAGAAAATGTGTAGTAGACTGAACAACCTGAGCTCTTGGAGAACAATAGTTAACTATTCTTTAATAGTCTCAGAGGGTAGCTGTGTTGGTCTGTGGTAGAACAGCTAGAAGACCTAAGTCCTGTAGCACCAATTTTGCTGGTCTCTAAGGTACCACTGGACTCAAATCCAGTTATCCTTAAATGGTTATTGCTGTGAAATTTCAAAATCCGCAGTTCTATTATTCTTACCTGGAAGGATCGTAGATGACCAACCACTTTTACATACGTCCCAGGTGGCACAACTATATTCTCACTGCCTGCTTCCTTTAAAAGAAAAAGAAGAGGGAGAGAGAGAGAGAAATGTGAGAATGTTTCTTGGTCTACTCCAGCAATGCTAATCTACTTTAAAACAAAAATGATGGTAATCAGATTTGTTTGGAAGTGTTTTCCTGGCACCGCAAAAGAATAACGAAGTCTACAAATGACTTTTGCTGTCCAGTCACAAATCCCACTCAAGGGCAGCAATGTAACTGAGATTCTGCACCAAGAGAAACAGAATTCCGCAATTCAAAATCAAGCAAATGTGCATATTAAATTAATTAAAAGTACATTTGCTGCAATGCAGTTTTTCTGAGATCTCATCAGATGCTGCTCACAAACTTTTAAGCCAGAAGTCAAATGCATTTGTTACGAGGGCCACATCTGACATAAATGTCACTTTGTTGGACTGATGCATGTGTGCCATAAAATGTAATGCCAGGTATCGAAGATATAAACTTTACAAGTGGAGACCCGCAAGAAACTTGCGGGATGGTTATCTCATTCGTCACACCTTTGCTTCCTCTCCTCACCCCCTACCTCTCTCACACTATCCTTATACTAATAGCCAAGTTGCCCACGTGAGTGCGGATATCTAAATCCGCGCTCCGGGGGCAGCTGGGGGGCAGGGAGAGGTTTGTGCACACGTGGGGCCGTCCCCACGTGTGCACAAAAATGCTAAAAGTTGAAAAAAAATATACTAATAGCCAAGTTGCCCCTGTGAGTGCGGATATCTAAATCCGCGCTCCGGGGGCAGCTGGGGGGCAGGGAGAGGTTTGTGCACACGTGGGGCCGTCCCCACGTGTGCACAAAAATGCTAAAAGTTGAAAAA